AGAGGCTGAGAAGAGTAGTACAGAGGAGGTGGAAATGAGGATGGTTAATAAGCATAAAAACATAGTTAGATAGAATAAGTAAGATCTAGTATCTGATAGCACAACAGGGTGACTACAGTCAACAATAATTTATTCTATATTTACAAGTAACTAAAAGACTATAATTGGAATTTTGTAACACAAAGAAAGGATAAATGCTTGAGGCGATGGATAGCCCATTTACCCTGAAGATTATTACACACTGCATGCCTGTCTGTACCAAAATATCACATATATCCCAGAAATATATATACCTACTATATACCAAAAATTAAAAAAGAAAAGGAGCAGAGCACAAATCTATTTTACACTATGTCTCGGTTTTGCTCATGCATATATGTCCAATAAAGAGTAAAAGGAACAATAACAGTAATAAGAATGATAACAGTTGTTCTTATCCATTTTTTTTTCTTTTTCCATTACTGTGTTTTCTAAATTTCCTCAGAAAATGATTTTTATAATCAAGGGAAAAGCAAATAAATATCAAAATAAATAACACTAAATACACGAGAAAGTCCTAGCTTTCATTAAAATTTCAAAACCCCAATACACAAACCAGCAGTATCCTATGATTACCACCTCTATTGCTTAGTTCTGGAAGAAAACATGTTCAAGAGATGAGTCAGGTGAATATATTCTATTACCAGTTTGCATTTCAGCCCCTAATCCTTCTCCTACTCCAGTCAGTCCAACTTTTACTCAACTTTCAAGGTTAAGTATTAAGTCAGTAACCTACAAACCATTTTACCAGACTGGCACAGTGAGATGGAAGAGTGCAAATCTTACTAGCAAAAAATGGGAATTGTCCATCAATAGAGGACTGGTTAAATAGATGATAGACTATTATTGACATAAAAATAATATTGCATTCTCATATGTACTGATATAAAATGATCCGTAAGTCATAATTTCAAGAGAAAAACAAATTTGTAAAACAGAATTTAAGCATATGAAACTCTATATCTAGCTTGTCATCTCTCTCTATATAAATATATATACATTTACATATATGTGTTACAAAGCATACACAAAAATGCATAGAACATTTTGAAAGGATATTTCTCAAATAGTTACTAGTTTCTGAGGATAGAAGCAAGATTTTAATGTGCATGTGTATGTGTTAAAAGAAGACTTGAACATTTTACATTTCTGAATTTTAAAAATTATTTACAATGGAATTGTATTATGTTTCATTTGTATAATTATAAATACTTTTAAAAGCAAAAAGGAAATGCATTTGAAAAGGATAAATGCCTCACAAATTCATAGAAAACTAGAAAATGAAAAAAGAGTAAAAAAGAAAAGGGATATGGAAACGAGAAGCCAGGTATAAAAAGAGACAGTACTCATTCATTTAAAAAATTACTTATTGTGGCCGGGCGTGGTGGCTCACACCTGTAATCCCAGCCCTTTGGGAGGCCGAGGTGGGTGGATTATGAGGTCAGGAATTTGAGACCAGCCTGACCAACATGGTGAAACCTCGTCTCTACTAAAAATACAAAAATTAGCCAGGTGTGGAGGCGCACACTTGTAAGCCCAGCTACTCAGGAGGCTGAGGCAGGAGAATCGCATGAACCTGGGAGGCGGAGGTTGCAGTGAACTGAGATCACACCACTGCACTACACCCTGGGTGACAGAGTCAGACTCCATTTAAAAAAAAAAAAAATTACTTATTGAGTGCCTTTATTAAGGCAGTTGAAACATGCTAAGATGAATCCACCTACCTCATCTTTCTAACCTGAATGACTTCTTTCTTTTAGATTAAATAATTTGCTTATCTTCTCCTTTGGAGTCTTACATTGTCCTCTGACCCATACCTTTTTCCTTTTAATGGTCATGTTTTGCTGTCAGAAATTTTCAATATTATTTGCAGCTAAACCTAAATCTCTCCATCTGGACTAGGCAAAATCAAAACTTAGAGTCTATTAACTGTCCTCAGTCCTAGACTGTGGCTACTGCAGAGATTTGTGAATTGCTAATATGTTAGATTGTTTCTGCCTTTTCCCCTGGACAGCCACCTATCTGGGAAAGGGTGTCATTTGTGTGCTTTTCCCTGTGTCTCTCTTCCTTCCTCTGAACTCTAAGCTTGTCCCTGGGCACATAGCAATTTCTCCCAGTGGAGGCAGTTGTAAAAGTCCCTGGATCTTTTTCTTTTTCTTTTTTTTTTTTGTTTGAGCTGGAGTCTTGCCCTGTTGTCCAGACTGGAGTGCAGTAGTGTCATCCTAGCTCACGGAAGCCTTGAACTCCTGGGCTCAAGTTATCCTCCCTCTTCAGCCTCCTTAGTAGCTGGAACTACAGGCATGTGCCACCACGCCCAGTGGTTCTTGGGTCTTTTGGACTGGAAAAAAGTGGTTTCCAGGCTGAATCCAGCCTCTATGGATTATTTGTTTCCCACTCTTAAATCCTCACCCAAGCTTTGGCTGCTCAGGACTTTACCGGCTAATAATTCCATGACCACTTCTGCACGGACAACACAAAAATAGCCGATCAGCTCTTCAAATTTTCTGCCATTGTCACACATCTGATCAAGGAGCGCTGTGACATCTACAGAATTTTTGGCATATGCCTCCTCCTCATCACCCTCTTTTAGCATACTCTCCTTAGCTCTCAGGCGGCCTGTGATCTTTTAGTAGGTTGGCAATAGCCATCGCTTGTTTGGTTTGCCTATCATACTTTCTCATCCTTCTTCTTCGGGTAACACCACTCGTGATTTTTGTGTAAGTGTTCCCTTTCTCTTGTTGTTCTGGTGGGGCTTCCCTCTCTTCATGTGCAGCAATGGTGATATGACACAAGCAGGGCAGTCAGTCTTATTTGAAATTTGTGTATGGCCACATGTAAAAGAAGTCCTTTTTGTGTGTGGGCTCATGGCCAGGACACCCCTAAGCCATTTTCTCCACCATGTGATACAGCCCATGTGTGGAATGAAACCAAGAAGAAACAAACAGAAATGGGTGATGGAGGGAGACAGAACAAATCCTAGTGTCAAGAAGTCCCTCTCTATAGGCCCTGAGGCGTGGTTCCTGCAGCTTACATTTCAGTCCTGCGAGTTTCCCCAATACCCTTCCCAGATAACAAAGCCAATACATTTCCTTTCCACCCTTAAACTGGTTTGGATTAGGTGCCTGTCTCCTGTGACCTAAGAGCCCTGATTAATACAGCCATCTGCTACTGAGCTGCTCCATCATTGCCTGTCCTCTCTGCAGAGTCCCATTTTCAGATGATTCTATATCACTCTCTTCCACCCCTTCCATGGTTGGCCCTATCTCTTCTACTGCCCTTTCTCAGGCTCTACTCCCCTCTTTTCAAAGTTGGCGGTTGGTTGGTGGGGGGCTACGATAATGGCAGTTGGTACAAGTTTCCTTCTAGGGAGGAATACGTAATTGTCGAGAAGATGAACTTTCAGGATCTGGATGAAGGAGAACAGGCAGATGACAGGGAGAAAGTATGTCTATTGCTCTCAGGCTGAAGAGGTAGGGAGAATGGTTGGTGGGGGTGTTAAGGAATGTCCTATGAAATAATAGAAAATTGTTCAGTTCATGATGGGACCTCTGCTGCAGTTATTGGACTCACAAAATGCTTGCATATGAATGACATTTGTGTGGAAACTACTAAAAGGGCTAGACATTCTGTAATCCGGAAGCACATGTGGGTGGATGGCAGTAGAGAGTGAACTCAGGGAATCTGCAGAAATATTGGGTAATACCTGCATATGTATGCAGATTTAAGATTCAAAACAAGTATTACCCAATATTTCTGCAGATTCCCTGAGTTCATTCTCTCTACTGCCAGCAAAGTGTGAGAAACCCCTGACAGCTTCCTTAAAAAAAAAATACCTTGTTTAATTTTACTTCAACAATCTTGTAAAAGGCTGTGTCTTGGTGTTAGTTTGAATTTGTTCCTGGGACAAGTTCTCTAAAACAGTAACTACTTTTGTTAACATGTGAAAGCAGGCTGTTAGGACTAATCTTGTCAGCAAAGAAAACCGTAGTATTTATATGACAAATAAATCCTTAATGGCATCTGGAAACCTAAGGCAACAGAAGCCGTTTGATTCTCTCCAAAGTGGCACACGGCCAGGAAATTCACTATAAGATAAGCTCATATGTTTCAGGCTGCTGGATTGGTGGGCACCGGGTGTCTGCTGGCTCTTAAGCTACCATCATGTGAAGGAAAAACAAGAAAGGGCTAAGGTAGAGGCTCATGAAAAGTGGCCCTTTATCTCAGTACAGCTACTGCTAAGAGGGGAAACACTGAGGTCCAGGTAATCTCCACTGCTCTATAAAATCTGGGTCTTTACTCCACAAAACAAACAAACAACAAAAAATCCACAATGCTGAGTAGTGAACAGACAAGACCCTAGGAATTGAGTCAAGTGAGTGAGAACAAAGGGTTAAATGCTTCTCTTTGGAATGTAAGGAGAAAAGAGAAATGGGGCAAAATAATTTGGGATCATAAAAATTTAGTGAGAATGAATGAAGAAAAGGTCAAATTTTGGTTTCTATCCTTAAACCTTGGTTGAAAGATTTGGTACAGTTTGGTAATACTTGATAGCTATTTTTATATGCAGGTCTGTCTTTTTTATTTACTCCAAAACTTCCGATTCAAGCAAACCACATCCATGGCAAAAGATTCCTGTTTCTCCAGGAGCTTGACCAAACCATGACTGGTTTCCTGGTGTCACGAGACCTTCAGTTTAAGCAACATAGCTTTAGAGGAAATAACCTTTCTGGCATTAAATTAGCAACCTAAAAATACGGCAATGATGGTATGCTATACTCCCACTCGCAGACATCTTTGGTCTTTTCCGGTTTTTCTAACAACTCTTTTTTTTTTTTTTAAGACAGGGTCTCACTGTCATACTGTTACCTTGGGTTATTCTACTCCAGGCTGGAGTACAGCAGTGTGATCATGGCTCACCGTAGAGTTGAATTCCTGGGCTTCAGCGACCCTCCTGCCTAAGCCTGCAGTGTAGCTGGGACTACAGGCTCATGCCATCATGCCCAGGTAATTACTTTTTTTTTTTTTTTGTAGAGATGGAGTCTTGCTTCATTGCCCTGGCTGGTCTTGAACTCTTGGCCTTAAGCAATCCTCCTGCTTCCATCTCCCAAAGTGATGGTGATACAGACAGGAGAGAGGGAAATACTGGGCAGAAGAGGGTGGTTCCCTGGCAAAGGCCCCCCCCTCAAGCCTGGATACCCAAGGTTCTAAATGAGAATAGATATTCCTGCTTCGTACCCAAAAAGTTGCTTTTTGACCCACCATGCCCCCTAACGTGCATCCATATAAACCTCAGGCTCCAGAAGCTGACCAGCAAGCCAGCAGACCAGCAGATGGATGGAGGAATGACGCGGCAGAAAAAGGGACAAGAGGAGGAACATCTGAACACCAAAAGGAATTAGGCTGGGGGCAGTCTGAAAGGAGACTGGTCGCCAGGCGGCCCGACCCCAGGGGAGGATCATTTTCCCACTCTATCCCTGCTTCTGGCTCCCCATTTATCCTGCTGAAAGTCACCCCCATCTCCACCTCCACCACTCAATAAAACTTCGCATTCATCCTTCGAGTTCGTGCATGACCCTATTTTTCCAGAAGGCTGGACAAAAGCCCGGGAACAGAAAGCTGTCACTCTGGCCCTCTGCCCTTGCAGAAAGGCAGAGGGTCCATTGAGCTGATTAACACTCAAGCCATCTGTGGAAGGCAAAGCTGAAAGAGCTTTGTAACACTGGGGTTGCAGGCAACCACCTCTAGACTCTACTGTGGGGCTGGAGCCCAAAGCGCTCTTCCGCTCTTCCGGCTATACACCTGCTGATCTGCATGCTCCGCCTCTTGCAAGAGGTTTGAGCAGCAGGGTAAATGAACAGGCAAGCCACACTCCTGTTGCACATCCTGTGAAAGGAATCAGGGACTGGTTTCAATGGAATTACAGACATGAGCCACTGTGTCTGACTCATTTATCTTAAATTTAAGGGGATAACAATGCGGGGAGTTGGAATCTAGAGGAACCAGAATAACTTTGATTTCTAGCTGTGAGGAAGAACATGCCTGCTTCCCAAGTGACCATCCTCCCAGCACTATGATATCTGTGAGATCAAGGGCTCCAGAGATTATAGAGACAGCATTTGGAGAGTGTCAGCGTCCAGGTTGACAGCTGGACATTTCCTGCTAATGTGTTCTAGGGAGAGTTAGCCTCTGCCATCCCCTGCATGGCCAACATAAATGAATAGGGTCTGCTCCAGATATGAATTACTTTTCAATTTAGCATGGGGAGGCAGGCAGGTTTACTGGTAAGTGAATGTGGGAGTTTTAGATAGTAAAATATCATAAATAAAGGCAGTAGAGAGGAGTAGAAAGAGCATGGATGGGCTTTGGAATTAGATAGCCCTGAGCTTAAATCTTGCCTTCACCACTACTAGCAGTTATATATAATTTGTTAAAAGGAGACACAAAATTCTCGGAACGAAAGTCCTAAAAATTCGTTCTTCTGTTAATTTTTAGAATCTTGCAGCTCTTCCCCTGCACTGATTCATTGCAATCATTTCACTCTGGCAAGTATTTACTGTCTATACAAACCATTTGGCTATCAGTAGATGCTGTTGCATGATCTCGATATATTTATCATATCTAGTATTTTTTTTTCTTTTCCCATGATTAGAAAATAAGCTAAGTAAGAGCAGAAAGAGGAGACTATGTCTTACACCTCTTTGTATCCTCTTCAGCGAAGAAACGTCCTTCACTCTTGGGACTCTATTGACCATTCCTGGATATTTACCATCTCTGGACTGCAACACTAAACACCAGTAATACCTGCCAGTCATGGTGACCAGTTCCCACCCCTCAAATACCCTTACACATTTCCAAAGGTTTCATAAGGATGGTGCAAACTTTGGTTGAAAATCACTACAGTGCCCAATATATAGTAAATATATATTTGCTTAGCATACATGGTTGTTTTGTTAGTTTCAGAGAAAAATTTCTGTCTGAAATTTATTTTTTTAAACAAAAATGCTTACGAAATTGGTTCATTTGACACCATTTCAATCCTAGTTCCACCTATTGTTTTTTGTGGGTGAAAAGGTCTGTATGTCTATGTTGCAGGTTGCTTTCCCTGAGGTCTGAGGAAGATATTAGTGTGCAGGAAGTTTATTAGGGAATGCTTTTTTGGATCAACAATAGTGGAAGGAAAAAAAAGGAAGTAAGATTAAGCAGAAGAAGTTGGACTGTAATGCAGTTTCATCAAAAGCCTGAACTAAGCCCAAAAATAGCTCTGAAACTGAAATGGCCCTTCAGAGTTGTACCAAGCTGGAACAAGGGGACGAGATGTTACTATCCCCTGTCAATCAGTGATTGGGTGTAGACTATTTTAGAAATAGGGCATGAGCTGGCATGAGGCAACTCTCTTCAGCAGAAGGCAGGCATGTAAGAGAGCTGCAAGCTGAGGGCTGTCTGTGGGCAATGCTCCCAGAGGCTGGTGGAGTAAATAAGTTTATCAGTCCTGAAGGGGTATGTTGGAGTGTGCATCATCACAGCATGTACTACAGTATGTATCAGTTTATCTGCACACAAATGAGACCTCAAATCGCTGTAATCAAAAAAAGTTAAAAACTAGTTACTCTTCTACATAAAATAAAAGTCAAAAGAGAGTTAGCTCCAAATAATATGAAGGTTCTGTTACTAAAAAATAAACAAACAAAAATACCAGGGGAATAGATGCTGTGGTCTGAATGTTTGTTCCCGCCTCATATTCATGTGCTGGAATTCTAACCCCCAAGGTGGTGGTATAGGATGTGGGGCATTTGGAAGGTGGTTAGGTCATATGGATGGAGTGCTTATGGATGGGATTAGTGCCCTTATACAAGAGACCCTGGAGAGCTAGCTATGTAATGGTCCCTTCTGCAGTGTGAGGTTTCAGTGAAACATTTCTGCCCATGAAGGAAACAGACTCTCACCAGAACCCAGCTGTGCTAGCAAACTGATCTTGGACATTCTGGCCTGTTATAAAAATAGACAGTAGAATGGTATTGTAAGAAATAAATCTCTGTTGTTTATAAGTCACCCTGTCCATGATTATTTGTAATAGCAGCCTGAACAGAACAAGACAATGGGTATCAGACAACGGATATTAGAGGGCAGCAATGTCTATGAAGTTTTATGGTAACATATCAACTTTCTGTGTATATATGTATAATGTTCATAAAATGTTAGTTTTAAGGCCTCTCTCAGAATTTCTCACACTTGCAGAAAATCTCAGCAGTACAGGAACAGACTTTTAAAAAATTGCTGGTTTTTCCGTCTCTGCTTGTTTTTATTTCCCATTTTATTATTTGGATAAAGCTTGGTTATAATTAATTTCTTAAAAACCTTTATTTAAATTGACAAATTAAAATCATATGTATTAATTGTATACTTTTAAAAATATATGTGTACATTGTGGAATGGCAAACTCAAGCTAATTTATATACACATTACCTCACATATCTTGTCTTTGTGGTGAGAACACTTAAAATGTACTCTCTTGGCAATAGTTGAGAATACAATGAATTGTTCGTAACTATAGTCACTACATTGTACAATAGATCTCTTGAACTTACTCCTCTTGTGTAACTGAAATTTTGTACCCTCTGACCAATATCTCCCCAGCCTTCACCATCCCCTGCCCCAACCCCTGGTAACCTCTATTCTACTGTATATTTTCATGAGTTAAACTTTTTTAGATTCCTCATATAAGTGAGATTGTATAGCATTTGTGTTTCTGTGCCTGGTTTGTTTCACTTAGCATAATGTCCTCCAGCATTCCAGTGTGTGTGTGTGTGTGTGTGTGTATTAATATATATGTATACCACATTTTCTTCATTCATTCATTGATGATATTTAAATTTATTCCATATCTTGTCTTGGCTATTGAAAATACTGCTGCAATGAACTTGGAAATGCAGATATCTCTATGACATACTGATTTCATTTCCTATTATATATACCCAGTAGTGGGATTGCTGGATCACATGGTAGTTCTACTTTTAATTTTTGATGAACGTCTATACTGTTTTCCATAATGCCTGTACCAATTTTCATTCCCACTAACAGTGTGCAAGGATTCCCTTTTCTCCATATCCTTGACAACATTTATTATCTTCTGTCTCTTTTTTTTTTTTTTTTTTGAGACAGAGTCTCGCTTTATCACCCAGGCTGGAGTGCAGTGCCGCAATCTCGGCTCACTGCAAGCTATGCCTCCTGGGTTCACGCCATTCTCCTGCCTCAGCCTCCCGAGTAGCTGGGACTACAGGTGCCTGCCACCATGCCCGGCTAATTTTTTTGTATTTTTTTAGTAGAGACAGGGTTTCACCATGTTAGCCAGGATGGTCTCGATCTTCTGCCTCTTTTTTTAAGACAGTGTCTTCCTCTGTTGCCCTAGCTGAAGTGCAGTGGCATGCTCATAGCTTGCTTTGGCCTTGACCTCCCTAGCTCAAGCAATCCTCCCACATCAGCCTTCTGAGTAGCTGGGATTGCAGGTGTGCACCACCACGCTTGGTTAATTTTTATATTTTTTGTACAGATGGGGTTTCACCATGTTGCCTAGGTTGGTCTTGAACTCTTGGGCTCAAATGATCTGCCCATCTCTGCCTCCCAAAGTGCTATAATTACAGGCCTGAGCCACCATGCCTGGCTTCTTTGACTTTTTGATAATAGTCATTCTAACAATAGTCATTCTAACAGATATCTAGATAATAGATATCTAACAAGATATCTCCTTATGGTTTTAATGTTCATTTCCCTAATGATTAGTAATTTTGAGCATGTTTTCCATATACCTGTTGGCCATCAGTATGTCTTATTTTTTATTTAATTTATAAAGAAAAGGAGTTTATTTGGTTTGTGGTTCCACAGGCTATTGGTTCATGGCAGCCAGCAACTACTTGGCTTCTGGTGAGACCCAGGAAGCTTTTACTCATGGCAGGAGATGAAGAGGGAACAGGTATGTCGCATGGTGAGAGCAAGAGCAAGAGAGAGAAGAGGAGGTGCCAGGCTCCTTTAAATAACCAGATCTTGTGTGAACTCATCACTGCACTCACAACACCAAGGCATTCAAGTGGGATCCATGACCCAAACACCTCCCACTAGGCCCCACCTCCAACACTGGAAGTCACATTTCACATGAAACTTGGAGGGGACAAACATCCAAACTATACCATTTACCTCTGCCCCCTCCCCCAAATCTTATGTCCTTCTTGCATTGCAGAACACAATTCTCCCTTCCCAACAGTCTCCAAAATTCTTAACTGATTCCAGCATCAATTCAAAGTCTAAAGTCCAAAGTTTCATCTGCGACTCAAGGCAAGTTTCTTTGACTTATGAGCCTGTAAGATCAATATAAGTTATTTACATTCAAGATACAATGGTGGCACAGGCAATGGGTAAAATTCCCGTTCCAAAAGGAAGAAATTGGCCAAAAGAAAGGGGCAACAGATCCCACACAAGTCTGAAACCCAGCAGGGCAGACGTTAAATCTTAAAGCTCTAGAAGAATCCTTGACTCCATATCCCACATCCTGGGCACACTGGTGCAAGCTGGGTGCTCTCAAGGCCTTGTGGCTTTGCAGGATGCAGCCCTCATGACTGCTCTCACTGTTGAAGTTCAATGCCTTCAGCTTTTCCAGGCTCAGGGTGAATGCTGCCAGTGGCTCAACCAATCTGGGGTCTGGAGGATTGTGGCCCCATTCCCACAACTCCACTGGGCAGTGCCCTAGTGGGCACTCTGTGTGTGGGCTGCAACTCCACAGTTCCCCCCAGCACTGTCCTAGTAGAGTCTCTCTGTGGGGATTCTTCCCTGTGGTAGTCTTCTCTGCCCACCACAGAGGACACCCAGACTTTCCCATACATCCTCTGAAATCTAAATAGAAGCTGTCATGCCCCCTTCACTTTTTTATTCTGTGTACCTGCAGGATGAATACCACAGGGACCACCAAGACTAACAGCTTGTGTCCTCCTGAGCAGCAGCCTGAGTTTTACCTTGGGCTCTTTAATGGTTGTAGCTGGAACAGCTAGAATATAGGGAGCAATGTTCTGAGGCTGAGCAGGGCAGCAAGCCTGAGGCCTGGCCTCTGTAATCATTCTTTACTCCTAGGCCTCTGGGCCTGTGATGGGAAGGGCTACCCTGAAGATTTCTAAAATGCCTTTTTCCCATTGTCTTGACTATTAGCACTTGGCTCCTGTTTAGTCATGCAAATCTGTCTAGTAAGTGATTGCTGTACAGTGCTCTTGAATTTCTCTCCTGAAAATCTTTCCTTTTCTACCACATGTCCAGGTTGCAATTTTTTTGCAAACTTTTACACTAAGCTTCCTTTTTAATAATAAGTTCCAACTTTAAGTCATTCTTTTACTCCCACATCTGCTCATAGATGCAGCCATGCCAACTCTTGAACACTTTGCTATTTAGAAATTTCTTTCACCAGATACTTCAGGGCATCAATCTTAAGCTCAGCCTTCCACAGATCCCTAGGGATTTACAATGCAGCCAAATTCTTTGCTTAGGTGTAACAAGGGTGACTTTTGCTTTAGTCTCCAATAAGTTCCTAATTTCCGTCTGTGATGTCCTCAGCCTGGGCTTCACTGTCCATGTTTCTGTCAGCATTTTGGTCACAATCATTTAACAAGTCTCTGAGAAGTTCCAAACTTTCCCGTTTTCTTCTGAACCCTCCAAACTCTTTCAACCTATGCCCATTACCCAGTTCCAAAGCTACTCCCACATTTTCAGATATCTTTATAGCGATACTCTACTCCTTAGTACCAATTTTATGTGTTGCTATAAAGAAAATACCTGAGGCTGGGTAATTTATAAAGAAAAGAAGTTTATTTGGTTTATGGTTCCACAGGTTGTACAAGCATGGGACCAGCATCTGCTCAGCTTTTGGTGAGACCCATACAACTTTTACTCATGGCAGAAGGCCATGTAAAGGGGGAGTAGGCCCCTTTAAAGGGCGAGAAGACCATGTAAATGGGGAGAGGGCCCCATGTAAAGGGGGAGAAAGTCATATAAAGGGGGAGCAGAAGGTCATGTAAAGGGGGAGCAGGTGTGTCACATGGCAAGAGTGGGAGCAAGATCCATTTGTATGTCTTCTTTTAATCAGGTTATTTCTTTTCTTAGTATTGATTTGTTTGAGTTCATTATATATTTTGGATAGTAACCCTTTATCAGATCTAGGGTTGCAAATATTTCCTCTTATTCTGCAGATTGTCTGTTCACTCTGTTGAATATTTCACTGGCTGTGCAAGAAAACAATTCTTGTTTTTAGTTAGATGTAATCTCATGTGTCTATTTTTGCCTTGCAATTAATGTTTGAATTGTGTACTTTTTGCTTGATAGCTTACAATCTTGATAAATGCTGTAACCATATCTATTTTGTTCATGCCTGCACCTGCAGCATCTAGTTCAAGGCCTGGAATGTAGTAGGAATTCAGTTAATGTTATTGGAAATAATTAATATGGAGTAGCATATATCTGCATGAGTCATTAATAACACTAATAGCTAACATTTATCAACTGTTAATATGGGCTTGGTGTCACAACTATCATCTCTTAATCCTCACAACAATTTTATTAGGTAAGTACTGTTGTTATCCTATTTTATACTGAGGAAACTAAGGCTCAGAAAGATTAGTAACTTTGACATTATGAGTCAACTCATAACTTGTATTGCTTTTTCTAGCTTGATGGCACTGTCTAGAATCTTCAGTATAATGTTGAGTAAAGGTGGTGAGAGTGGACATCCTTACCTTATTCTTGATCTTTGGTGGAAAACATTCAAACTTTCACCATAATGTAAAATATTGGCGGTAGGCTCTATTTCTAGTTTGCCAACAGTTTTTGTCATGGTGTTGAATTTATTAAATGTTTTTCTGCATCTCTTGGTATGATTATGCAGTTTTTCTTTTTTTAAGTAACACCAAAATTGAGAAATTAATTTTTAATACCACTTTTCAATAACACCAAAATCCATGAAATACTTATGAATAAATTTTGTTTAAATTTATGTTGAAGATCTATACCCTAACAACTAC